CGTGTGCTGAATTATTATCAGCTTACTGGTTGATATATGGGTAGCCAGACCCATTATTAGCCAATCAGCCGATGACATGTATTTGAGCGGCCAGGGCTCTCACCCTGGTCCTAAATAAAGGCAGAGTTGAATTTTCCTGATAATTGCAAGCTTCCTCCTATCTACAGTGTATGCTAGTGACGGGTAAATACCTGGCCCGTTACATAAACAGCGGCTGGGATGTCCACTGGGAGGCCCTTCCGAGTTTGGAGAAGGATGAGAGCTCCGACACGGGACATAGAAACTGATGTCCGGAGCGAGATAGCGTTCTGGTTGTAGGGGTACCATGTTGATTCGCCTTGCAGCCGGTCAGACGCATCCATACGGCTTAAGCTTGTGACGGATGCTGAGTGGGCTGTCCCGACGAATCCACAGTCACAATATCCTGAGCTCGTAACGCGAACCACTTATAGGATCCACCCCGGATGGCCGCAATCTCCGACCGTCTCAGGAGAAAAAAGAACGCCAAGCGCATTACCCCCCCCCCCCCCACAGGGCTTGGTCATGAGGATGATTCATTAACAAGTTCCAAAAGCAGACTTCCAAGAGATCAAACGACACGGGTGCCTTGCGGCGCCGGGGTGTGTCGAAACGGCTGATCCCTTTGAGAAGCATGCGGACGTACGGGTGTTCAATTGAAACCGTACAGCCTGTTGCAGCGAAGAAATGGCGAGCGCCGTGGAACACTGCCGAGATGGAATCGCTTCGGATGGGACCACCAGATCCGAAGCCGAACTGGAAGCCATGTAAAACGAAGGCCGAGATGCAGTGCACTTGGTCGGTCAGGGACACGCCATAGAGCCAAGGATGAATTCCTCGGCGCAAAGACCAGATTCTCCACTTATCTAGGGCCCGCTTGTACTGGTCAAACGTGGAGTTGGCAACGGAGTGCGCGCGAAGATACGATGCCAGATATCCGTTAGACCCTCGACATCCACGACTGGGGACACGATGTGACCACCTAGGAGTTAGAGAAGCGAAAACATGTGCAAACGATAAGTTAGCGGGAATACGAGAGCCGGCGTCAGCGCGAGTATTGTCCATACCGGTGATGTGGGATGCTGAGAAACAAAGCCGGTATGACGTTTCCCACCAGCCCAACAAAAGGATGACGACTTGAGCCCTGGGATTGTGTGAAGCCATCTTGTTTTGCCATGCGATTGCTGAGGAATTGTCGATACGGAAATGCACATGACGTGGCCTGCCGCAAATAGGACTAATGGTAGACCAGCGTTCCCCCCATGCGTGTACGGCAAAGGCACGCGAAAGGAGCTCGCGGAAGTTGATGTCGAAGCCGCTGGTTGCTCTGGTTTTGAACTCCGCGATCAGCTCGCACTCCATTTCGACCACGACATCTGGCAGTGGAAGGGTGTTGAAGTATTCCAGAGATACGCCGTTCAGCTGAGGATTGTGTAGGATGGTTCACCACCACCGCAAGTCTTCTCGCATGGCATCGGATATAGAGACGCTCTGAAAGCGGTGGAGCTGGGCCTCGCGTTGGCGAAGTCGCTGTAGGATCGGTTTGGGAGCCCGGGCACACGTCGCTACATGCCGTAAGTTCATATATCTGAAAAGGCAGCTGCCAAGTTTAAGCCAATGCTTTTGATAAGAGAGGGTGACGGGTGCGTCTCGTTTCCAGTCGTAAATGCTGCTAGAGAGATCAGTGGTAGGTTGAAGGAAGCCAGAGGCAATTCCGCATGCGACGATGCACCGTTAGGCTCCCAGGTGTATGATCGAGCCGGCTGGCACAACGATAAATGGGCCATCATGTACGCCTGGTACTTCCCGAAGGGCTTCTATCGTGGAGAGCGATATCATCTTTCATAAAAAAAGAAGAGAGAGATTGCTCACGCTTTTGAAAAGAGTCGAAGCTGACGATCTTGTTGTGATATGCCGCCATGAGTCAGTGCCGAATTCAACCACAAGACGATAATTGACATGACTCTCATGTTTTGAATGCAGATCACCCTCGCTGGATAATCAAACATAATCTTAGACTGCGGCCGCATACTACATGTTAAAGAGAGGATTTCGCAGCTATGCGAGTTCCTGAACTCTATCCTGTTTGTTGCTGTTGCTCGTGCAAATGCGCTGTGGTTGTTGGCGCTATAGCCAGAAGATTGTC